AACAATATGAAATAAATTTATTAAGTCTCCGTACTTTCCTGTCACACGATTAGTCTAATATAAATTTATTTACCGGAACTTTGTTTGCAAACGCAATTCTCAATTCATCACCATGATTTTACAGAACCAACTTACATCGCCTTTATTATTATTATTATTATTATTATTATTATGGCGATGGTGGCAATAAGAAACTTAAAATTATCCGTTGCATTTGGGGATTGAGACGTTGCAGTCGTTGGCTATACGATTAAACGCCTGAATGGCGGACTTGACTTTGAGCTTCTCGACTAAACATGGGAAACACTCCTTCTGCTCCTCCACCGCGCTGCAGCATTCCGGCAGCGGACGTGGCACTACATTTACCAGTACCTTCCAACAAGGCTTTACTATTTTCGAACGATAATCGCATTCACGACCTTCCACCGCCATTGGAAGTTCGACCGTCAGCGCCACCACTGCAAACGCCAACACGATGAACCCCAACTTGGCCATGGATGGATGTAATTGATTAACAAGATGTTATATAATTTGTTGTATATAAGTTGAATGTATGAACGAATTGTGTGTAATATTTATATGTGTATTTATAGGATAAGATAGCAGCCTAACTACTTTAATTGGTTCTTGCACATTTCTTTTTATTGTTTGAAAGTTTTGATATTGTTTATTAATTTATTTTTTATTTTTAAAAATGATATTATATCAAATATACATATATATTTTATAAAATATCGCGTCGAATATCTATGTTTTTTTATAAAATGTTATATTATATACTCAACTTTTTATTATTTTCAAAAAAAAAAAATAATAATAATTAAACATGAAAAGTTCTGGTTCAAACAAAACCTTTCGGCTACAAACCTAGCTATGTGTTTGGTAATTATAGTTTATTTAACAATTATTAAATGTTTGATAAGTTAAAAGGCTAGTGAAAGTATTTGGTACATAAACTAATTATTCAATAAAACATTTATTTATATTTTAAGAATATTTTTAAGAAGAAAAATTATTCATATTTTTTAATAAAAATATACTACATTATTTATTTTCATAAAATATTTAAAAATAACAAAATATATATTTTAAGAATATATTTTACAATTCAAAATAATTAATATAAAATTTTAAAAAAATCTAAATTCTAAAATAATGCAACTGAATATTGTAAAAATAAAATATAAAATATTTATAATTGTTATTACACATATAAATAACTGATGTCAATAATTATTTTATCAAATGTTTTAACACAAATAAGTAATATATTAAACTAGTTAAACAAAGTATTTAAATTAACAGTTGATTGTCAAATTCTACCTTAATTGCATTATACACGTGTAAGTGTGTTTGTTCGGAGATTGAATTTTAAATTCACTGTTATCTAATTTTTTTTCACAAAAACATCAAATCAAACGCCTAGTTTTCATCTTTTATGTTATAATAAAAATCAATTTTACATTCAAAACATTACATCAATACCTATTTATATCACCTCCTACAACTATTCAAATTCAAAATTTTTACTATTCAAATCTCAACCTCCAAACAAACACACTATATAAATGTTTTTATAAGTTTATTGTAGTAATTAATTGTGAGTTTAATATAGAAACCCAATTTGTTTATGATTTAATTTTTTTATGAAGTAGTTTTTTTAATTATTTGTTGGATCAAACTGTTCATTATAATGTTTAGTAATAGTTTTTTTAAAATATTATATTGTGATTTAATTTTTGTGACATTATACTTGACATTAAAATAATTTTTATATTTGAATAATTTACTTAACAAATATCATTTTACTTGCATTCTAAGAGACTAATAAACATATTTTTGTATTTTTATTTTTATTTGTACTATGTATTGATATAATAATTATTATTCAAATATCAACACGCAAAAAATCAATGACAACCTTCTTGCGGGACGGAGGGAATACTATACGTTCCGCAACTAGAGCATCATTTGCTTTTTACATGTAATCTTTTAAGAATTAATATTACATTGGTTTGTAGTTAAAAAAACAAAAAAGCTCCTATTAGTATTGCATAATATAAAAGTAATAATATTTGTGTAAAATATATTATAAGTGGTAAGAAAATTTATTATGTTAGATATGTAAATACAATTACTAAATTAAAAAATAATACCTTAGTTTTAGAACAAACAAAAATAAAAAATAATATCATTCTTAAGGAACGTAAGAAGTATTTCTTTTTTCTCATCAAACATTTTAAAAATAATAAAAGTAAATATCTAAATTATACTTTCACAATTTCAATATTCTCTCCGTTCCAGTTTTTTTTGTCGACGTTAATATAAATACGAGAATTTAAGTAAAATATAATTAGTAAATAATTAAAGAGTGTATTAGTCGAAATAATTATTATATAATAAAAATAATTATGAATTAAAATTAAAATAACTAAACAATTTAACTAAAATTAAAAAAATTAAAAATTAAAAATTTTAAAATATGATTAAAATGTATAATCTTTAAAAAAAATATATATAGTAGAACGGACCTAACTAATAACAAAAATTATTAAAAATGCTAAAATATGAAATAATGCTATTATATATTTTAAAATAAAACATAAAAATATGATTAACCGATATTTTTACGTATAAACAACTAATATATTTAGGGTCTGTTTAGTTATCTTTTTGAAGCCCGTTGACACTATATGCTCCTATTTTTTTTAAAAAAATATTACATCATATAAGATCTACTCAAAATTTATTCAATTTTTTTTTTTTTTTAATAAACAAATTCTATGTTTATTTATAAAATTTATTTATTTCAATTATTAATAAATATTTACTGTATGATTTTAATAGTAAAATTTTAAATTGAAATGATTGTTTGATGTGATATAAATATGTATTGATGTGATATTTTTTGAATGTAAAATTTAATTTTAGTGTAATATAATAAATAAAAAATAGGTGTTTGATTTGAGATTTTTGAATTTAAAAAAAGAATTAAAATAATAAAACGGAAAAACAAATCTCACAAGTAAACACAGACTAAATTTTATAAGGCTAAACTTGTCATTTTGCTTTTTGTCAATCATAAATTAGAGCATAAAAATAAAAACAATCATAAAATTCAACCTTGTGTAAGAAATAAAAATTTAAATCTCAAAATTAAGCTTGAAATATATTCGGGCCGGGTCAGTCCGACACAATCGAAAAACCGAACGATGTATGGGTTTGTGCAAATCGTGTTGGCCTAGCACGGCTTGATTTTTCAAAGAATTAGAGTTTACAAAAAATTTGAGTTTATTTTGTGGCTAGTGTTAATGTTTCGGATATTTTAAATATTTATTAAATATAATAATTTTAATCAGAAATTCTGAATGTGTCTTGACGCAATGTTATTAGTCTAAAAAATTTTAAAAATTCACTTAAATATAACTTTTAATATTTAAAAGAATAAATAGTTTTTGAATTTATTCTAAAGTTATACTAATATAATTCTCGAAAATCTAATTTTATTTTATTTTTAAATATACTATTTCTGATATTTGAATAAGTCTTGAAATTTTGAAATTTATATTTAGTATGTACTATGAATCTCAAAAATTTTGAAATTTAATTATTATTAGTATTGAAAGTTTTTAAGTTGGTATTATAGATTTTAAAATTATGAAGTTATATTATATAATAATATTTTTTAATTATTATTAAAATCAAAAGTTGTTTAATCCATTTTTAATTAATATTATTATTTTATTATTCATATATAATTATTGAAATTAATTGTTTTAAAAAATCGAAACAAAATTTAAGCTAATATTAAAACAACATGCCACTCTTCTTCAGCCCATTCTCCTTCATTTTAATTTTTTTTTTTTCTTCTTCTTTCTCTTTCTCTTTTGCTGCTGAATTGCTGTTTGTCCCTCCCTGAGACGCTTGGCGGAGAAGTACCGGAAAATTCCTCCGGCGACCACTTCTATAATGTCATCTGCACAACTGAATTTTTGAATTCAAATTCAAATTCTGTTTTTAGTTTTGTTCTTTTTATCTGTTTTGGTTTAATTATTATTATTATTTTTTTTATGGTTTAATTAGTTGAAGTTAGATGCTAAAGTAAAGAAGTATCTTTTGAACCCATAATGGCCGGGAAAGTTGCCGGAATTCAAAATTTCTCCGGCAACATTATTCCGGATTAGTTTTTTATATAAATATTTTAAAAATTAAATCAAAAAGCCCGAAACAAAGAAAATTGATCTAGAAAGGCGAATGCAATTTGGGTTCTATAATCTATATGCATTGTACCTCTACATCTATCATAGTTTTTTAAGAACTTTAAATGGACTAAAAATAATTTCGAAAGTAAATTTTTTTCATTAAAATAATATCTAATTTCTGATGTGGTGGTGATGCGATTGATATGTCATTGCCACATCAACGACATATGAAATATTTATATTAAATTAAAAATTAATTTTATAATCAAAACATTGCATCAATATATAAAAATATTTATGTATACGATATATCAAACAATTATTTCAATTTATTTTTTATTTTTTAAAATAATTTTAAATTTTACAATCAAACAAGAGACTTGATGGTCTGATTATGGTGTAAAGTTTGAAAAGTTCAAACTTATTGTTTCAATTATAATGTAATATATGACAATGGTTATGATTGCTAAATTTTAGCTCATGTTACAAGGCATAACACAATATATGCTATCCGGCTTGTGATATTTGCTAATTCCTTCGTATTATGTTTGTTGATTTTCGCTAATTTGGTCAAATAAGCGTACCAAATCAACACCAAATAATATACATAAACTAACAATCCATGATATACTTCTATGTATTTTTATTTTTTTTTTACGCTTTGGTTACTTGAATGGGTCAAATCAATCCAATCAACGCATGTTTATAAAAAAAAAAAAAGACATATTGATATAATATATACCACAGATTTTGATAGCAGATTATGTAATTATATATAGTACAATATATTATGTTTTCAGCACAATAAACAAATTATACAATACATCACAATATGTAACTGCCATAACAAATATTAATAGAATATACTCCATCCATCCGTCTCTTAACAATCTATCCAATTTTTTATTTTGGTCCGTCCCATAACAAAATATCTATTTTTTTTTAGTAATTGTACTATCTATCTAACATTACAAATACCCTTCCAATTTACAATATATTACACAAATGTCATTACCTTTATATCATACAATAGTAATAGGGGTAATTTAATCTTTTTACCTTTATTTCTACTTTATCTCAATATAATACTAATATTTTTAAAACTTTGTGCAAAAAATAAATGAATATATATATATATATGGGACAGAGGGAGTATAATATAACATATTAAATAATTCTATGTAACACAATATATGATGATTTCAACATAATATATAATTCACATAACACATGTTTTACACACCCAAACTGACGCCACATATCTATATCTCTCTCTCTCTCTCTATATATATATATATATATCCACGAACACAACAATTTTATTTTCAGTACATTATAGCAACTTAAACACAACATTATATAATTTCATTTCCCACAATACATAAAGCTTGCATTGCCTTATATATATTATTATTCTCATTCTTATTCTTATTCATTTTTTTAGGGTTCATGGATAAGTACTCCTTATCCATGGCAACGACGACGATGGAATCAAGAAAGTCAGCATTCGGGGATCGGGACATTACAGGCCCGGGCTATACGCTCAGCCTGGTTTCGGGTGATGTATTTTTGGTACTTTTTGAGGTTGTCACATGTTAGACAATCCTTCTCGTCCCTCAACCTCCGGCAGCATAGCGCCGACGGCGTTGCTCCCCCCAACGCCGCCCAGCAAGGACTTAGACTTTCGACGTCACAGCCACCCTCCACCACCAACGCCACTGCCATCATGGCGACCATGAACACGATCAACCCGATCTTCGCCATGGATTATGATGATGACGATGATAATAATAAATGTAATTAATTGAGAAGATATTGTTCCTTGTATTGATTGAATGAATTGGGTGTAATTTATCTGTATTTATAGGATAAGATAGCTGACTAATTAATTAAGGTACTTTGGTTCTTAATTAATTTTTAATTGGAAAATAATATTGTACGGCTACTTAGCTAAGCTACCATGGAAAAATGGAAGCATATTTAATGGCGTTATACATACATATATATATATATATATTTCTATTTTAAGTTTATTGTAGTAATTAATTGTGAATTTAATGTGGAAAACCCAATTTGTTTAATTAATTTTAAATTTTTTATGGTTGAATTTCTTTACTTAGTTAGACTAGGGGTGACACAGTGTGCGCCTTCAACATGCATGGAGACTAGAAACGGATAGGGAGGGAGCAATTCTTGAAAGGAGAACCATGGACTTCGACTCCTGAATAAATCCACGCCTTTCCTCATTTCATCCAACGACCAGGATCGGCAGTACTTATTTTCGTTTCCTTTTAATAAAATTAATTTGTTCACGTTTATTTATATCCATTCTTTAAGACTTTGTAGGGTACGTTTCTTTTAACGAGTTTTGGAAAAATTAATTAGGTTCGAATTTGATATTAAAATAATATATAATATAATATTTTATGAGAAAAAAAAAATATATATTTTTTTTTAAATACAAAATCTAAATAGTAGAAACCATTGTTTAGAGAAAAAAAAAATAAAAAACCCTGTATTGTTCAATCTCAAGTTGGCCACTACTTAAGGTCATCTCCAACCATCCACTCTATTTTTGCAGTTGTTACAATAAAAAATGCAGTTGATCTACGGTAATTTTACTTTAATCATAAACTTCAATTTTTACTCTAAAAAGTATATTCCCTATATATTCCTCTTTTATATTATTTTATATAACTTTTCATATTTATAAATTACACCCCAACTTTAATTTATTTTTACATTAGATCCATACATATATAATTTATAAATTATTTAAAAATTACATATATAAAAATTAACATTTTAAAAATAAAATTATATATTACTTTCCAAAATCTAAAATTATATCACTTTTAAAAAATAAAATTATACATTATTTTTCAAAAATAATATAAAACTACATACAACTTTTTAAAATATAAAATTATATATCATCTACTAAAAAATTAACATTACACCATAAACTTAAAAAATACCAAAAATATAAAAAACACCACAAAAACTCCACTCCATTTTTGGAGTAACATTGTGCATATCTGCAAAAATGGGGGAAATTTGGGGTTGGATTGGAACCCTCTCCCATTTTTTGTACAACCCACTGCATTTGGAGATGATCTAATAGCTATATATAGATATAGATATACAGGAAGAGGACAGTATACTATTTCATTGGTAATAAAAATATATAATAATAATGGTTTTGTCTTTAATGATAAAAAGTACAAAAAAATAATGTACATTTTATTAACAGAAAAAGAATACTCTCTCCATCCCACGTATCGTATCTGCTATACGGTAGAGACACAGTATTTTAGGAGGAGTGTAATTAGCAGATAATTAAGAATGTATTAGTGAAAATAATTATCCGATAATATAAATAATTATAAATCAAGATTAAGATAACTAATTAATTTAATTAAAAGTTTAAAAAAATAAAATTAAAAAGTTTAAAATAAGATTAAAGTGTGTAATCATTTTTAAAAAAATGAAAGTGACTATATGTGGAACGGAGGGAGTAATAATAATTTTTTTACGACAATTGACAAAAAAAAAAAAAAAAAAAAAAAAGTGAAAGAAGACTAATTTTATGGCTACTGACAACACATGTCCACAGCACATTATGTATACATAAATATATGTGTATATAATAAAAATATAACTCATTGAAAGAATACAATGGTGGTCCACATAATACAAATATAACTCTTGAAATCATGATTTAAGATATACTAGATGTTAAATATATAGTACTCTTAAGTAATTTACTTATAGCGTCGTTTAATAATAAAATTAACTATATATTTATATAAAAAAAATATAATAAAAAGACTTTATAAAAGAAAAAAGCAAAAAAATTCAAATAATAGCCCTATTAATTAATTTATTTATTGTTATATAAATTATTTGAAAATTTTAATTTTGACTACCCCACATATATTAATAAAATAAAAATTGTGTAACCATGAGGTCATAATTTAAATCTCTGACGCCGTCAGCTCCACATATCACACATAGTTTGTCAAGTGTGATTTTTCTTGCCGAATTTAATTTGCAAAGTATAAAGGGTTTACCCAGAACGGACTCGACAAGTAGCGGCTGCGATTTTCACATAATAAATAAATAAATAAATAAAATTTGTGCATTTATTAAAAACTATCCCATACGTGTTCTTAAGTTTTGGCATGCTCTAAAAATGAGAGAAAATTTGAAAATATTGATACAATAATATCTTTTATGACAATTAAGTCCGATCAACTATGAGATTTGGATAGACAACCGAGGCCCATTTAGCGTGAGTGCAACCATTTCTAAGTACTCTGCTGGGTTGGTACCAGCAGACGTAGTTCTATGGTCAAAATATTAGACTGTCCAATTTCCCAATTTTCAAACAGACTAAAAAAACTCAGGCCTGAAGCATAGCCCACTTTGAAGAAACTGCTCTAACCTAGCCCAACGTGGCTCGGCCCAGTAGCTTTCTGGTTTTATGTTTTTTAAAAATATAGTTTATGAAAATATGGCAGTATGTATTAAATATAATATATTTAAAGTAACTGAAAAATTTTATTGTAATAATATACATTATTATGTTAAAAATAAATATGAAAACATAATAACTAAATACACCCAAAACCACTCCCAAAGCACCTACTACGAATTTTGAAGAAAGGGTGCAAATTAGGGTGAGGGGTGAAATGGATTTACCACTAGGAAGAGTAACACGAATACAAGAAAACAGGCAGACAACAAACATAAGAAGATATTTCATATACTTGGAATCCAGGTGGAGACAATTGGGGGTTGGGAAAATTCCAACGCCCGGAGATGCAAACAATACCAGCCAAGCACACCTCCACCTCCATCTCTACTGGTTTTATCTCCCCCTCCAAAGATACCTACCTACCTACCCACCTACCAACACCACCCCACAAAATTCATGCCCAGGGGACTTTGACTGTCATGGAAATGGTCGAGGTCGAACGACTCACGCTGTCAGCACGCAGGGAAACAGGTTCTGTTAAAGCAGCAGCTGCTACTTACAGAGAAACCCTGCTTCAATCTAAATTCCAGGTATGATTATTTCTTCCCTTAATTGTTTCTACTTTCTTAATTAGTCAGTCTTCCATTGATGTTCTACCAAGGTTTATGCCAAGAATCAAGGAGACCAAATTCATCAAGCAAGGTTTATGCCAAGAGTGGAAGAATCCAATTTAAGAGCAAGAGGCTTGGAGAAACCGAGCATGGATCAAAGTGGTGAAGAGGAGGAATGGAGCTCTGAGAGAGAGTGTGCCAAAGTAATGAGGGAATTGGAATTCATAAAACAGGAAGTAAGGCAGCTGAAATTGGATATGGCTATTGTTCTGGAAGAAAAGAGGAGAGCGGACAAAGAAAGAGAGTTCTCCTCCATGTCATCATCTTACTTGAGTTCAGTTGTGGAAAAGGTTAAGTGGGACATTGAGGATGTCAATGAAAAGCAAGTACTCGTTGAGCTGGCTCGAATCGAGGCTCTCAAGGAATACCAACAAGTTGAAGATCAAAGACTACAGGAGAAACAAAGATACACAGCTAAGACAGAGGAAGCTAGGAAGAAGAAGCAGGACATGATTGAGGAAATAGAAGAAGCAGCAGAGCTTGAAAACAATCTAGCTGGAACCCTATCAGATGTCAGCATGTTATCGGACAAATTGAAGCAGGTTAAGGAAGAAAATAAAGGATTAGAAAGAATGGAAACCTGGAGAAACAAGGCCATGTCCGATGATATTCAGGAAGGGGACACCCTGGAATCCGCATCAGTGCTGCAGTCAGTGGTGGAAAAGCTGGAAGCTGCGAAGAAAGAATTGAAGTCGGTTAAGGAAGAGAGCTTCCAGTTTATGTCTTCCATGGATATCGTTAGAAATGAACACAAGCAAGTCGGGGATGAATTAGCTAAATTAAGGAGTAAAGAAAAGAAATCAGAAATGATTATTGAGAACCTCAGATCAAAGCTTTTTCAGGCTAAAGCTAAGCTGGAGGCAACTTCTGCAGCTGAAGACAAGGCTAAATCAATGGCGTTGAATATCCTAGTCACACTTGAACAGCTCAAATCAGAAGCTGAAGCAGCAAAACAAGAGCAGGCCCTGATCAGTGAAAGAATTGCAATCATAAGGGCCGAAGTACAGAATGCGGAAACACAAACCTACCTGGCTGAGGAAAGATTACAACTTGCACAGCAAGATCTTGAAGCAGCTAAGTTAGCAGAAGCAGCTGTCCTTGAGAATCTGAAAGCACTTACAGAAAAGACAATGAGAGACAGAGCTTCATCTTCTCGGCCTAGCTCGAGAATAACAATTTCCAGGTTTGAATATGAGTACCTGACAGGGCATGCTGCAGGAGCCAGGGAAATAGGAGATAAGAAGATTGCAGCAGCACAGGCCTGGATTGAAGCTCTAAAGGCAAGCGAGAAGGAAATTCAGATCAAATCTGAGCTCCTAAGACAAAAAGGTAGAGAGCTACAAATGGAGGAACAACACATAACCAAAAGATCAATGAGTTTGAGAAGAATGGCTGAGGATGACTTTGGGAAATGGAGGCAACGTATGGAACCTGAAAAACAGATGCCCAGCATAGCTCTTCCCACAAAAGCCATGAATAGGAGTGTTAAAATGACACCGGCAAGACGAGGAAAGGCTAGAGCAGTTGCATCCCCACTAGTCCGCGGCTCACCAAGAACGACATCTTTCACAGTCAGGAGGAGGAGAAAGGCTATGCCAAATTTAGCCAAGTTCTTCAGCAGAAAGAGCACTGAGAGATATTTGTAGTCTGCATAAGAAATGTGAAATTTCGCACAAAAGATTCTGAAATGTAATTCTTGCTCAATCAGTAGATAGAACTTCTGTTCATAAGTTTACAGGAACTTACAGTGCTTATATTTGAGAGAGCAAGCTACATCCATCTTCCATAGAAAAATAAGAGTCAATTACATCTTTCCTATCAAAAATCAATTACATCTTGATAAGCTGTACTGTAATGACAAATGCTACAGCTGGTAAAAATGAATTAACACTGACATTTCAAGTATATGCGCAGGTCAATGTGTGGTTACATCTTGCATTCCACCTTCCGAGAGCAATGTAATCACACATAGTAAATCAAGATAGGATTAGCTTAAATAAAAACTATAGAGGAAATCCTATATTTCAGCACAAGCAGAGCTTTTAGCCAAACAAATTTAAAAATTCAAGTATAGTGTTCAATTTGATTATTGATCACATTACCCAAAACCTTGAGAATGAAGGTAAATCAACTTCATCAAAATGAAAGCATCTAAACTTTGAATCAAAGCAACCTCACACACAGAGTATGATGAAGTGAATAAATCTATGAGCACTTGCCAGACAGGAACGCTTCTAAGCTTTGAGCAATTTATATCATATTGCTCTTTTGCTAGATAAAAATATTATTCATAACTGGAGCATTCTCATATTGTCATACAAAGTACAAAATTGGTAACATAGTGGAAGGCAGTGGGTACAAAAAATAAAAATAAAAAACAAATGAACAAATTGTATAAAACTTCCAGCTGACTTTCTACACAGTATTTTCAAAACTTTTAACACAATAAAAATAACTGACTCAATGCATTTATAGCTACACATCAAATTAAAATGTCAAGAAATCTTATAATCTTTACCAACCCCCCATAGATTGATAACACCAAGAACCCAGATTACTCATCATCCAGCTTCTTCAAATCCAGACCAACCTAATTTTAACAAACTTGATGAAGACCATGACTCAGACAGTGAAGAGAGAACACCCTAGCATTAGCTCTCCACTTTCCATAACATTATAGTTACAGCTAGAGAGGGTTTGCTGGCAGGTGGACCGAAGGTTCTGAAACCACAGTTGTGCCCTTTGTCATTGTCTGATACTGAGAAGGCAATACTGGTGGTAAAGGCTGGGTTTTGTATATTTGGTTGTATGCAATATCTTCATCGAACTCACAGCCATGGCTAGAAGGAATTGCTGAAGAATTTGCAACTGGTTCGGAGGGCATTTGGGGCTCTGGTAACTTCATAGCAAGTTCACCTTGATTAGAAGGCACACTGATTGGCTGGACAGCAGTAGGAATATTGCAATAAACTTGTGTTACAGATTCAGGTATCTGAGTTCCATGTATGTCTTTGTGGGCTATTGAGTGAGGGATTGCTGCAGCTTGTGGATGCACAGGTTGTTGACCTGAAGAACTAGTAGCACTGGGATCGAAGGAGCACTGCATCGACATATTATGGTACTGAGGGGTCTGCATGGGCACAATATATATTGGATATGGCTGGTTTTGGGGACTAGGAATATGCTGTGGCGTGGGCATTGGAAGTTGGTACAGAGGATAATAAGGTGATGCTGGCACTGAACCAGTATATTGAGGAACATAATGCATCCCTCCTTGAATTATTTGCGTTTCATATTGTTGCTTCACTGTGTCGAGAGGCTGGGAAAAAGGATACCCGACTACATGAACTGATTTCTGAGTCAAATTACTAAGTAGAGGATCAGAAACAGTATTCTCGGATGATTCTTCCGGATCAACCTGGATCAGTGGCTCCAAGAAACTTTCAGTTTTTGGAGGAGCAGCTGCACTTCCAACGCTATTTTCACTGCAAGAACCATATACACAAAATCATACTGCCAGCCAGAATATGTATAGTCGTATAATCAGGAAATCAATTCAAAGATAGGGTCCAAGTAGTTAATTCTCAATTTGTTCATAGCATCCATTGATGCTCACTCTCCAGTAAACTCAAGGGTGAATACTATCGAGTACTTTAGTTGAACAAATATTTTAACTGCTGCAGAAACACCCAGCATTCTCGAATATAAATATTATAATGCCCAAACACAATGAATGCATATCATCATACATAATGTTGTTCACCAAGTTGCAGCTGTAATTAGCCAAATCAATTCAAGGATGCAAAGTCAAGGTGTAAATGTTATAAAAAGAACATTGAATATATGCAGAAATGAAGAAATGATGTCACATCATTAGAAATTTTCTAATAACCTAGTGTGTGGGTAAGCATTTCATATGAATTTGATTTCTACCCACCCTCTCTAGTAAATAACAACTTGCAATTAAAATTACCAAATTCTTGAAGAGAATAGAAAAGGATTGGGTACCTTTCAAGGGAGGCTGACGAGGGAACCCTGACTTTTCTGTCAAGTAAATTCAAGCCTTTCTCATCGCAATGGGCAACACCTATCGCCGGTGAATTGGACATTGAAAACGAGGAATTAGTCGAGCCAAACGACGAGCTCGTTTCCAAAATTAATGACTCCGCCCCGAGCTTGCCTCCACCACCGCCACTGTTGCTCCTGCACTCCACAGGAGCCTCCAAATCTGACCCCAATCCCATCAAAAATCCAGAATCCGCAGATTGTCCTTTTTGCAAAATCCTAGTATTCTTCAAAGCATCGGAAAACCAAGTGTCTGATTTCGGATCGACGAGGGTAGAACCGAGGGACTCAGGCTTGACGGGGAAGAGGAATATTCTGATCCTCGCGGGAGGCGCGATTCGGTCATGCTCCTCGAGCATGATCGAGAGATCCTCGTCGGTGACGACCGAAATTAACGAATCGAGGTCCTCGCTGGGAAGCTGGTACTTTAGGAGAAAAGGACGGTTATGGAACAGAACTCGGGACAGGTGCGCGGTGAGCGCAGAAAGTGACGATGCGGTGGTCCGCCGATCCAAGGCCACAATACGCGTCTCGCCGCTGGCGTAGAAGAGGCACTTGTCGTGTGGGCGTGGGACTATATGTCCACCGTAGCTGCACATCAATCGCAACTTCGAAGGAGCGATTGGTGGTCTCGGAGATGTCGCTGCGGCAGCAGGAGCGGCGGAGGGTGCCGGCGGCGGCGATTCCATCGAGCAGTTGGAGAGGGAGGGAGAGGGTGAGTGAGAAGAGGGGGAAGGGTTTTTAACAATCCTTCATAGCTGATGATACAAGATCGTGGGACCACCGTAGATTTCCTCCGGGACCACATGCTCCAGGACCTCCACGATATTTGCAGTCACAGCTGGAAGCGTCATGCGTGGCGCGGTAATTACGCATACATGATGATGATGCCTTGCCCGCACCACGTAACTATTTTAATAATATTTTAAATCCCTATAATTGTATTCCTTCTTAATTTCAATAATTTCTTTCCCACTTTTACACTCCTAATTAAATGAATTAAAATACCTTTTTATATAATAGAAAAGGCAAATTACGAAAATTAAATAAAACATAAAGTAGTATTGAATAATTGAAAGTTTCGGACGGCAAGAATTCTCGTAAACCTAGAAAGGCAGACACAGCTGGCGCATTGGTCTGTGGCAACATCTGGATTTTATAAATGGTAATAAAAATATTTGACAGTTAATTGCCGTGGTGATCAACAAAAGTTTACAGGTTAATTAACTGACAGAAAGACTGCCAGCTAAAGGTGGACCTGTCTGTCTAGTGTACTTTATCCAATATAATAAATGGGCAATTGCAAATTACGATCTTATATTAATTTTTTCTTGCAACGTAAACATTGAGGAACCATTCTAGAAATGATATTCGGATTGGGCTTTATGGGCTTCTAAAACCCTAATTTGAAAATTTCTACCCGGCCCAGAAACCCAAATCACAAGAATCTAACACCAAAATCAGTTACTACTAATTCAGAACTCAGAAGAATCAGATCTTGACCCGGACCCGTTTCTTGGATTTGGGTTTGGGTTGGAATAGATGAGATCTTAGGGATTCTAAGGTGAACCCGCCGCCGAACCCCTGGCCGTAGCCGACGCCGACGCCGGCGCCGCACCCGAAGCCGATCCCAAACACTGCACTCAGATGGTTCCACCCCGAGCCGCCGAGCCCCGCCCCGCCGACCACTCCGAGCCCCAGCCCGACTCCGCACCCGATCCCCGCCCCGACTCCGGGTCCCAGAACGACGTCGTTTATCCTCCGCCGGCCGCCGCCGTCGTTGAAGAATTCAGGCACCGGATAAAGCTTGCTCTCAGGCTTCCTACGATAGAAATCGATGCCCTTCCATTTCCACAGGGAACTCGATTCTTCCTTGTGGATTCCATTGATGAATCTCAGATCTTCCTTCATCTAATTCACGACTGAATCGATGTTCTTGAATTTCCACGACCTTATCCAAATGAAACTCAGGCAGCAACACTAACGATTCGGACACTTCAATGTTGCCTAAAATGGGCTTGGACCAATAAATTCCCAATTGGGCTATTAGGGTTTCCTCCCAAGAATCAATGAGATCGAAAACCCCAATTGAATAATTTCTAAGTCAAAGGGAGTCGTCGTAGTCCATTTGGGCGTTCTAGAAACAAACAACAAAAGAAGACCCAAGATCATAATTGTCTTATTCTTTTCTTCATATAATAATCTTGCAAGAAATTTGACCAACGAACAGTCAAGATTGACCGGCCATCACAATACTTACAAGTGATTTCCTCGAACCTCATAATCAATCATAGAACAATTCCATGTCCTATAAAAACCCAAACTTTTCCCACAAATCTTTAAACCCAATCAAATCATTACAATGGAAATCATCGCACCATTCACAGGAAGTCTGAGGAGGCAGTGGAGAAGAAGAGGGTATAATCGTCTTTCCCCATCTCGAAACAGGAGAAATCTGCGAGTCGAAAAGCTCGGCGCCGGAAACACCAAACGGTTTTCATGGCGGTTCCGGCTGGGCCGGAAGCTCCGGCTGGCGGCGTCGCCGGCGAGGCTGTGGTGGAGGATGAAGAATGCGTACGTGAATATGATGCTGCGATTGGGTGCCCCGAACGCCTTCGGCAATAAGAGGATACCCAAAGCTCGGGAAGGTCCTCCCATGGCGTATTCCAAGACTGAGTTCGAAAACAGACTGGTCTTTGAGATATACAAATCCATGGTGTCGTCGTTCGAGCTGGGATACACCACCAAATTGTCGTGAAGATTATTATTTGATAAAAATCGATTTTAATTGAATAGTTTGATTTGATTCATTTTTGTGCTGTTCGGATAAGTCGATGATGCAGCAGGATTGATGCATATGTAATAATTAATGCATCTGCTCTTTTGTAATCTTTATGTTTTTTTTTTTACAAAGTGTTTATTAATGTTAATTTATCTTGTAAATGCCAAGATTCATTTATTGTTAAACCAAGAAAGTAAATGTCATGATTTTATACAAATTTGTTCATTATTTTTTGTTCGAATGTATTAGCTAAAATCATTGTTTTAAGAAAAAAACCATTCAAATGTATTAATTTTAATTTAGTGTAAAAATCAAACAATATATAATATACGTGGGACATGTAATACTACGACCTGTAATGGCAAATCAAATATATTCACTGTTATAATTTTAATAAATGGGAGGATATTTATATACACAAAATTATTTAGTGGAGAATAAAATCTGACAATAATTTATTTACGGTTCTTCTCTAATAAATCAAAAAGTAATTTCACCACTTACATGCGTCTCAAAAATAGAATAGTTGTCCACCAATAGACGGTCTGACAGTGCAGAGGTTATTCGTTAATTCTTTTTCAAAAATATTAAATTAAATATTTATTTTTTATTATTTATATTATATAAAAATTAATTTTACATTAAAAATATTAAATCAATACTCATTTATACCACATTATACAATTATTTAAATTTAAAATTTTTATTATTCAAATTTCAAATCAAAATTCAACATTCAGAGCAAACAAATATATGTGGGGTAGATAAGGCTAATTGAGTCGCCCTTGGCGGCAAACTATTGATTAAGTAATGTTCTTTTGCTGAATAATTCAGCACTCATTACTAGCTAGAAATTTTTTAAATTGTGGTGAAAGATTTGTTGTAGCAAAATATATAGTTCAATTTTTAATTGAATGATTATATATATATATATATATATGTATATTGATAAAAAAAAATACTTATATATTGTAATAATAACACCTATAAAATATTATACTTTTTTCTGTCGTGTTTAAATGTCACATTTACCTTTTGCGTCATTATACTTTATATAAAAAAATATTTTTATATTTGTATAATTTTTTTTTGTACAGATGTCTTTCTATTAGTATTATAAGAAACTAATTGAAGTATTTTTGCAATTTTTTATAATATATACTATATTTTGATATAATAATTAGTATTCAAATATCAACACGCAAAAAGTAAATGAGACTGTTAGAGCCGAACGAATGTAGTATTAAATATATATATATATATATTTAATATTGTATTAATTTTAATTTTTTCAATAAAGCTTCTATTGTTTTTAAAATATGCATTTATATATTGGTTCGTAATTATTTGTTCACTTAATTTGTTTAAAATCATTTTCACATATATTTCTTACTAGCTAGAAAAGGTAATATTGGAATTTTATAAAAAATTATATCAAAATTCTGTTGTTTTTTTTTTTCAATTTTATTACACAATATTATAGTTCCTTATATATATTTGAAATAAAATGTCACATACAAGAAATATGTAACATCAAAAACTAATAATAATAATAATAATAATAATGAAAAAAAAAAAAAAAACACCAAAACACCAAGCCCATATATACTATCAAATGAACAATTTTAATTTGTGATTGGGACTTTAGAATGATGACAAACAACATAAGTAGTCCATATCAAAACCTTATTTCATTAGTGAAATAATTGTAATCTGACACACAATAAACCTGAGAAATTTGAAACATGGAACCCTAGCTAGATGTGGGCCAAAACAAAGAAAAAAACTAATGTAGAAAGATGGAACCCTAGATGAGGGAATTTCTGTGGAGTGTCCCATTAGAAATAATCAATTGGAAAAAAATAAAAAAATAATAATAAAAAAAAAAAAAGGTGAAAGAGAAAAGAATTAAAAATAATATCTCATCAATCAAAGTGTTGGAACTTGATATGCCATCAAATAAAATTCTCCAAATCCGCAAAGTGGTAGAAACTAATCAATACAAAAAACCCAAAGAAATAAACACAAAATCGATCAGTTTATAAACAAATAGAGACTCATATATCATCAATATATAGAAATATATATATATATATATATACATATTCATTAACCCTCAATAGATTTTGAATTATGAATATGAATTGTAACATAACTTTCTTTTTTCTTTTTCTTTTTCGTTTTTTTTTTTGGTATGGTCTTAGTTGAATAATAGGAAAGTACATGATGAGTAATAACTAGGAAGGAATTGAGGGTTTCCTAAAAGGGGCATGTCCAAGAATATATATTGTAGCATTGCCCACTAACATCCCTTTCTTGGCAACTTGCTTAGGTTCCTTTTTTTAGATAGCCCATAACCCCGTTTGTCTTTTCCTCTGGAAAAAGCACCTTTTGACTATATATATATATATATATATATATATATTATGAAAAAGATTTTTTTTTTTTTTTTTTTGTGTGTGTGTACTGTTGATGGTACCTTTGATTATAAGATTAGTGCTATATATATACAATGATAGGTATAGGACAGGTTTAAAATTAAACTCCACTAGCTAGTACTAATGATTGGCCCCAAATACAAACTAGGGTTCCTAATTAAGGTAAGCTTTTGTCATAATTCTTCTTATCCTTTGGATATATTACTGAGTTGGATGATGATGGTGATGGTAATTGATCAAGAAAACAAAACCCATTAATGATATGATTAATCTCATCCCCAATGAGCATAGGGATGGATGGATGATAATGCATAATATATATATATAATAAATATCTGGAGGAGGGGCAGTTGGATACCCCAATTATTGGAAGAAGATAACATATAATATTAATATAAATGGAATAAATGCATGCAAATGTAAGCAACAATATTTATATAAAACTTATAATTAATTAAGATGATGAAAGGATGGGATGGGGTGAAGACAGGTAGGTTGAGATTGATGACAGCCAACCCCATTACATGGTGTTTGCTGACTATATATATATATATATATATATAGAATAGGGTATGAATTAGTTCCTCGTTTTGTTGTACTAATATGATCGGATCGATATATGTTATATAAATAATCATCATATATTTATATATACTTCAATATATTTATAATATAATATATATTATATTATAATTCAATATATATAATGTACTATGTATAAATATATATTAATTATGTTTCTAATACATGCTGATCTGATCAAATCAGCATCATATTGACTTGGTCTGATCAAACAGAATCCGCAACTCATATAATACAATACCATATCATAGTTAATTTCAATGTACTAATATTTCATGTTACCATAATACAAATATTGACAATATATAATAATAGTGTGTAGAACAAATACTTTAATTGATCTAACCATATGTTATATAAATGTATATTATGCCTAACATATGATAATAATTTACGCAATATATATGATATTTAAATTTCAGTCATGTTTTGCGTGTATTATTAGTATCCGTTGATTAGCCATCTACTTGTCCCTATAAACATATATTATACACACGACCTCCACCTATTATATTATATATCTATGGGTGTGTTCTTTTAATAATAAAAAAAAAAAACTAATACATTTTTTTAAGCATTAATATATTATATATTTATTATTTTCATATTATCTAAATAATTTTTTATAATTCTTTTCAAGCCAAAAACACAAAACAAACAAACTATGTTTATTTTTTATATGTAAATGATCGAAAGAAAGTTACAGCAATTAATATGATATATTTTTCTCATATAATAATATATTCAAACCAAATTTCAAAAGAGCACACCTAAAAGTGTATTCACTGAAATGTTATATATAATGATTATTGTAAAAACAATACAATAATACATTTTGGCATTTTATAGAGAATCACATTTATTAACTGTAGGAAACCTATAAAAGTCAAATAAAATGTATATGTATATTTTTTCGATTTCTGAGCAGTGTTTTCAGGTTTTATTTTAGTTTTTCAAATTAGAATCAATATTATTCATTTGAAAGACTTTTTAATAATAATTTATTATTATTTTTTATAAATTATTATATCAAAATACTGTTTATATAAAAATTCAAATAAAACTTTCTTTCAAATCACAACCAAACAAACCTTTTGTTTGCCCACAACTTTTTTGTGATAGACAAAATTCTTTATACTTCATATTTCAAATAAAAAAATCTAAACAAACAAACCCCTTATTTCGCCTTCTTTGAAATAATACATATTACAAAATATTATACTGCTTCCTCCGTCCCGGTCCAAAGGGGTTTTTTTTGAGATTTTGTAATAGATTAAGAAATAATAGTATTTTATACCTTCAATATGCCTTCAGATGTCAGTTCGTTGACCTACCTATATTCTTTGTGCTTATCAACAGTCAGCGAAGTTTTCCATAGCCAACTCATACACACCCACATTCCGCCGCTCATCTTCGTCCACCGTCTGGGATATCCTTTGTTGCGGCTTGTGCGTTTTCTGCATCGTCCTTAACGTAGTTTTCTCCTCGTGGACAAAGCTCGGCCAAATTGGCCCTTTGACTTTAGGTAAAAAGTAATTGTATGCGTAATGATATATTTATAATTTACGTAAAATTTAAAAGTATTTTGGTATTGATATATTAATACTTTTACTAAAATAGAAAATAGATACTTTGAAGTAGGACAAACGAAAATGATAAAAATGAATGATATTTTAAGTTGAGACGAAAAAAAGTATTTTGATACTTAACCATATCAAATATTAAATTAATATTTGAAATCTCAAAAATAAATAAATATTATAAAGCTACAGAATATATATATATATATATATATTATGCAATGTTCCTGATTATGTGTGTTTGTGGGTTGTGATATAATATGGAGAGAAGATAAGGCATTAGTGATGGGGGTTCATTTAATATTTTATCTTCACATTGCCTCTGTTACACCAGCCCCACTTCAAATTCCTCTTTTGACTTTTTTTTTTTTTTATT